CGTGTGCTAAGTTGCCCTAAGTTGAACTCCACGTTCGACTATGAAAGCTAAAAAGGTGTTGATAATCAAGACAAGAATGTAAAGGGCGAAAGATTATAATCAAACTCCACGTTCGACTACAAACTCTTTGTAAAGTAAAAGGTGCTCGAAGTTAAAAGTGCAAGAAAGTAAATAGCTTTGAAAATAACTCCAATCTGAACTCCACGTTCGACTAGGGGATCTTTAAGTAAAAGACTATAAGGTAAATGACTTTGAAATTAAACGTGCGAAAGACTCAAAAGGGAACTCCACGTTCGACTTTGAAGTCTTGAAAAGTTAAATAGCGAGAAGGTAGATGATTTTGAAAATAATTGGACGAAGGATTAAAGGCGCAAGAAAAGTAAATGACTTTGAAAAGTAAAGTTGAAAGTAAATGGCTTTAAAAGAACAAATGGAATTTAAAGGCGACAAAGATTACTGTCAAACTCCACGTTCAACGTACTTATTTTGAAAACTAAATGACTTTTGAAAATAAATATGCAAGTAAGTAAATTTCTTGGAAAATAACTCTAATCAGAACTCCACGTTCGACTAGGGAGTCTTTGCAAAGGAAATGGGCTGAAAAGTGTAAAGGGCAGTTTTGAACATAAAAACTGAAAGTTAAAAATGGCAAGTAAATTGTAAAGATAAATTGCATTGATAAGAAAGAGTTTGGTGTTGTATCATGTACATTCTCGTTAACTTGTTTCTCTACACGCAGATACTTTGAGTTGTATGAACTAGTACAATAATGAATGAACACCCTTATTACATAAAATTTACACTTATTTATAGTGCTATAGAATAACTACTACATAGCGGTTGAGACTTTCTAACATACTTTTTGGCGCTTCTTTATGCTCTTAACCGCCCACACGTTCCTTTCCACTTGATTTGAATTTTGAATATTCTGCAATTCCCTCCAATTTGGCGAAACCGTCTCCTTGCTCTCCTTAGCATAGTCCTCATCGAGGATTTTCCAACACTTAGCGTTTTTTGCCCTTGTTCATCTTTCTTCGACTTGAAGTTTTTTTTGATTGGGTCGAAACTCTTCCATACACCAAGTATTGGTATTTTTTGACTTAAGATAGCTCTAGTCTCGCCTAGCGTCGAAAATTAGGAGCCAACAGTTTCTCATTATGTATAAATTATCAACTATGTATAAACTATCTATTCATAACATAATCATCAATTTCGACAAATTTATACAAAAACTCAATATAGTTTAGAAAAAAAAAACATATAAATTGTGAGTTTACTTCGGTGTTAAGTGAGTTATTTGATGGACTTTATGTTGATGGAATAAGCTTTGAAGTTGATTGAATGATTTCGAGAGAATGTGAGTTGAGAGAGTTTTGAGAAACTTAAGTCGTTTATAGAGTTCTTTTAGGAAGGGGAAAGAGTTCTGACGTGTTTTTGATCAAATATTGTTCGGAGTTGGCATGACGAAAAACTCTAAACCCGATCACCCCGCCATAAAATACACGGGAAAAACTCAATTTTATTGGATGTAAGTGCAGGTACGGAGAAAACTCGGTTCTTATTTATGGGACAGGGTGGAGGATGCTAATACCCGCCCAACACGACCCCACCCCGCCCCCGATCTAATAAATTTACTTTAATGCACTTATTTTAACATATACAAATATCATTTATTCTTTTTAATATGTATGGTTGGTGGTATGTATGGTTGATAGTTAATTTTTAGTTGTTACCAAATAGGTATTAAATTTTTTAAAATACATTGGACATTTCTTATATGAGTGATTGCTCTTGACAAACATTTTTATTAGAATTATTTTACTCTTTAAAAACATATTTATTAGAAACTATTAAATTGAAAGAAAAAAGAATTTGGTTAGAAACAAGTTTATTAGAATTATCTAAACTCTTTAAAATACCAAGAAATTTTTTTTTTAGGATCTGTTGCAACGCCTAGTCCGAAAATGTATTTTCGTTATAATTTAATTTATAAATGTAGAGTGAAATCTATTCGAAAATACATATCCGCAATCAAAGCATATTTTGATAATTTTATAAAAATGGAATAGTAATCCATACAAATATTTTTAAAATATTTTTTCATCATCTAAAAATATGTTTAGAAATAGTTTTCAGAAACAAGATTATCAAATAAGATTTTTGTTTTTAAACTTTTAAATATTACTAAACCGTTTAAAAAAAATCAAATAGATCTTAAATGTTTGACTTTTTGCAACAATACTTTATCAATGATATTTAAAATATGTAGATTCTTTTTCTGAAAAAAATACATTTAGCAAGAAATTTGTACTTTTCTCAACGAATTATATGTATAGTTAAGTTTTGTTTAGATTTTAATATGTAATGACCATACAAATGACCATACAAAAGATTTATGAATAAAAAGTCAATATATTATTAAATTATCTTGTTTTGGACTGCACTTGTGATTGACTTAGTATCGAGCACATCCAATTCAATTTTATGTCGAAGACGGTTTATAATATTTATCTAATCTGACAGTGAATACAAGTTGTTCATCCATAATTCTACGTAGTAATTCTGACAGTCATCATCTGTTGTGGCGTTGACACTCAGCCCATAACGAAGACTATTGGCCTAGCGTTAAAAGCTCACTATAAAAATTCTACTTTGCAAAAGAATCCGATATTTTATTCTCTAACTCTTTTTTACTACATTTTCATCCAAATTAACTTAAGTATCAGAGTGTCTATACATACACCCCTCTTTTTTCGACGACAGTTCTTGGTACAGGTTGCTGACCGCACATTCTGATGTTATATCATATCTTTTTTCATTAATTTAATTTTAAAATCAATTAAATGTTTCTAAATTATTATATTATCCAGATGATTAAATAGTTGAATGAAATAATAATAACTAATAGATGGTTTCATTTATCTTAACAATTTGAATTAATCATTCATCTTAAATTTTAGAGCATAATTATGTACTGTGTAAAATTTTATATGTCGGTATATTATATTCATTTATAAATAATATTTTATATACAATTAAAAAAATCAAATATTGAGAAAAAAATTTAACAGCAATTCAATTGAATTTTAAATTTTACACGTTATTACATTACATGGACAAAATTGAATTTTAAATTTTACACATTATTACATTACATGAACAAAAACGTAACTAATAGAGTAAGAATTAAAACTGAAAAATAGTTAAACCTTTTATTGTTAACTTGTCTTCTAAGATTATATGTTAAAAGAAATTTATAAATAAAAAATTTATATTAGAAAAAAATTATAAATTTTTAATAAAAATAATATTTTTATATTTAATTCTTAATATGTTACTAGCATTACCCTTATTTTATTTATTTTTGAGTAAAGATTATTTTTTATTTGTAACTTCACTTTGTGTCAAAAGAGTAAAACAACCGTCACCGTCAGCCACTTTCCGCCGTCATCGTTCTCACCAGTTCGGTCTCGTTCTTCACTTCGGCGCGAAACACTCTTTCTCGTCTCTCAACATCGCACTCTTGCACGGCGTAGTCACCGATACGTCAGGTGCCATCCAGTGGTTCAATTGTTCTGCATCAGATCCCTTTTTGGTAACGCTCTCCTCCCTCTGGTTATTCGTTAATTACTTCCAATTCAACGAAGACTAGAATCGTTTTATTCTTTTGTTTAGCTTGAGGGTAAGGGATAAATGAAATTGTATATTCTACCTTGTTGAGTTGTTGCTGATGGTGTTGGTTTCTGGTTTGTCTAGAATTTTAGAATTGTTAGGCATAATTGAAATTTAATTGAATATGATTGTGCTTCTTGAATGCAAAATTACAAATGGCTTAGTTAGTGATTTGCAATTTAAACAAAATACTTATCTTGATTGATTCAAACCGGAAACCGGACATCCGACACTGTTAGTAATTTGAAAAAATGAATAAATTGAACTGCACATTTTTTATTTTTGGATCAATGGTTTTTACGCCAAACTGATCTGAACCGCGAACACACCCTAGAAACAAGTTGGAGTCCCACTGAACTTAACTGCCCAAAAAACAATGGCGGAGTTCGCTGTCGATAACAGGAATCAGTGAAAAAGTCATCTAGCCGTTCCCTTTTTTCTTTATATAACAATTATCAGTTGCGATTCAAATGCAGTTTGCGGTTGCGATAGCCACCTCTACAAAAGACCAAGTACCGAAGAATTGCATTGCAGCAGATATCCACAGAGTGATCCTCAGATTGAGCGATCAAGCGATATGAATAATGATTCATTTTGTTTTTATTTTATGCTGATTTGTTCATTTGATTGATTTTCTTGTCTGTCCTACCTCTTCTGTTTTTTCAATTGAGATAAGGAACAATATTAATTTTCATATTTGATCTGGTTGGACTTAGAAATTTTTGCTTATCTAGCATTCTTCTTCCTATAAATTAATAGAATTTGAGCGGTGTTTCCCAACCTTTTTGTGTATCAATAGAGATAGGTAAATATGATTTTTATTTTCATTTAAATTTCACATGGCTATAGTATTTCTTTTACTGTTAATTTACACCGAAACCGACTGGTTTTTGGTGGCTAGGGGATCGAATCAGCTGTGAATTAGCAGCTTTGATTTACTTTAATTCCAAAGAGAAAAGGTAGGAGGAGTATTCTTCCACATTTCTACCTTGGTGTTTGTAGAAAAGTAATTTTTTGATATAGAATTTGTGACTGAGGTAGTGATTTTACATATATGTATAGTAAGTCTAAAGATATAATACTATGGTTTTTATGTATCTGTGTTTAGTTTGGATTCTTGATTGTTGTTTATGAATTTTAGAAACACGTTGAAGTGATTTCATTGCAATTTTAGACGTTGGATTGCGTTAAAATATTTGTTAGCTTTAATACATAAGTTTTACCGCTGAATATGAGATTATTATTTTCAGTCTGTTATTTGATTCTTGTTTCTTTCCCGATTATGTTTTATTCATGAATTATTTGTAAAATTGTTAAACATTCCAGGAATGGGAATTAGTAAAACAGAAGTTAACTTGAAGAGATTGCTTGCAGCTGCTCCTCAGCAGCAAAACCAGGCAAAACTTGTACATGTATGTACGAAAATTAGCTTTGACTATATTTATTTTAGAGCAATTAGTGTTATGTCAGAAGAGGAGGGGAGGGTTTACATTTTTGTTTTTAAGTTGGGGATACTGTAAAATATTTTAAAAATGAATTGAGTGAGAATGAAGTATTATATGATCCATTTATCATGTTGTTCTTTCAATTGTTTAAAAATATCTAATACATATCAAAATATAGCTTAGCCCTCCAAAACCCTCTAAAATCTGTCTCCCAAACATACCCTTATAGAAACAAGTTACCTTTTTTTAGATTTATGTTGATCTCAATTACTTATAACTTTTTGCTAATTTTATTGAAATAATGTTCTGTTGATTCTGTAGTATGTTGCTACTTTGCGGGAACAACTAGAACAATTGGCTGAAGAGAAGACACCGGACGGCTTGCCAAGGTAGTATGTCTTATTATTTACACTCTTATCTTATATACCTAAAGAGAAAACATATTTGGACACAATTTTAACATCAATTTTCGACAATCAATTTTATGGTTAACGCAGTACAAATACGAGGCTAACATAAGTTGATCCATAGATATCTATTATGATTTTACGCCCCAAATGCTTACAAGAATTTCAAAATTAGCTAGGAATAGTCCTTTGGTTAGAATATTTTCCTCTTGGTGTACAGTTGGAACAAATGGTGTACAAGTAGCTACACCATCTATGTTTTCCTTTATTAAATTTCTGCAAACTTCCGCATGTTTATATGCATCCCTGATTTGTCAAGAATTATTTTTACACATAACATCTTACGTACTCCATGAGCTGTTTCTCTATATTCCACTTCAGTAGCTTATAGCACCTTTCTGCTACATTTTGTTTTCTGCTTTTCCATTTGACTAAAACCTTGAGCAATAAGCTCACATAGATTTCCCATCCATGATAGGTCGTATACAGTCAGCATTTAAGTAGACCTCAATGATCTGTCATGTTTTTTTGTTAAAGCAATTATATTTGTTGACACCTCAAGATTTCTAAATTTACATATACCAGGTTAAGATGTTCAGCATTGGTGAATCTATGAACTTAATAGCTAAACTCAACGCAAACAAAATACCAGGCCAATGAGGCCATGCATCTTGTTCCCTCAAAGCTTTTGATTAAGGCCACAAGAGTATTTTCTAGCCTACTAACACTCGTCTTGTTAGGAGCCCAAGAATTGGATTCCAAACGAATTCCCCAAAAACTGGACAGCATTGATAAATCAAAAGAATAATTCCCAGATTTTCCACTAGGGTTAGAAAAACTTAATAGCCTAGGCTTTGTATCTAGTGAAAATTTCTTGAAGTAGTGGATGCCATAGGTTTGAGTAAAGGCTATGATATCTGATCAAGCGTCATGTCTTTTAAAGAGGATACGATTTTATTTCTGAATGACCATTGTTTGGGTTTAAACATGTAATTGTTAAGAATTATTATTTAGTGAAATTTAGGGATTAGATGGAAAGGAAAAAGAGAGAAGATCCACTTATTGGAATATAGGATATTGATTAACTACTGGAATATAAAAACCTAATTCAATACTTTTATATGTCATAAATTCTATTCTAAGTCAAGAACAAGTTTAGAGTTATATATACATAAGAAATCCTATCGTAACAATAGTCCTAATATTCAAACGATACTTAAAGGTCTAGCAGACTATGGTACATCTATGGACTCCTGTATTTACAACGAGTTCTGTTTGAAATATGACTCTCATTGAACATATGTTGTACCATTCCTTGTTTTAAATTCTATGAGAAGATCTTGGACTTATAATGATTACATTTCCTTAAACTGATTGGGCAGTTATTTCCTCTTCTACCTGCTCAGATCATTGGTAATCCATGATCTAAAGCTGTTATATTCCTGCTATATGTTTCTCTACTGAATATGTGCATTCTTGATGTTTGGGTATGACCGGTCATGCAGGATCTCAAAGACTACATTGAACGATTATTCAGAGAAGATTGAAGCCATTGCCTCAAAATTGGTTCACGTGGTATGTATTTGTTAGCTATTGTATCTTGGAAAGATTGAAATGCAAAGGGATCATTATAGCAACTGACTAAACATTTGAGGTATACAATAATTTTATTTAGGAATCTAAATAAATAAGCCACATTTTCATCAATAAATAACCTAACTACTATTATTTCACAGCATGGTTGTTGTATCCCCTATCATAGCTTGCTCTAAGTCGTGTATAGTATTAGTAACAAAAAAATTCTATAGCCAGCCATGTCCTTTTCAGTCAAAAAAGTTCTTCTAATGAATTTCAAATACATTCTAAAATAAAAACATTTTACTTAACTCATAGATTATTAGGATGAAGCTATTCTACCATTGAAGAAAGGATAACAAAATGGAAAAAAGAGAGAAATCTTTAAGAAGAGAGAAATATAGCTTCATTGTTATACATGTGTGATAGTACAAGCTTTATATAGTACACTCCTATCACATAACAACCAATCAAAAGGAATCTAACTAACCAATAACCACCTAACTAACAATAGCCTTATCCACTATATTGATCAACTAATTTAATCCAATGATTAAAGTAGCCAATCTTAACATAGGTGCACATATTGCATAAACTTAAGACTGAAGGTCCTGCTTGGTTTAGCAGGTGTTAGTGCTAGGTTGGAAACGTAATAAAGAAAGTCACTTAAAACCTACTTGATATAACAAAAACATGAAAAAAAGTGGAAATATAAGGCCCCGTTTACTTTGGGGGAAAGGGCATCAGAACAACATTCTGAATTGTTGGTATTGTAAAACCAAACATTAGCTTAAATGTAAATGTTTGGTTTCTTTGGGGATTCTCTAAACCTTTTCAGATTTGTTTTCTTTATCTATTTCTCAGCTCTCTTGTTTGTGTTTATAATGCCTATTGCCTTGCTCAAATTCAATTTTACTCCATCCTCTTTTGCCCACCTAGTCAACCAAACAAACCTCAATGATTTGTTTTGTGATGGAGAACATCACACTAAAATGTAAGAAGTGCATATAAAATATTTAATGGTTTGAATTATTGGTACATGGTTGGAATGCATCATAAGGCAATGCAATTTACTCCATTGTTTCCTGTTCATATATTCCATTTCAGTGTTTTAGCTAAATAAGCACACTTAGTGATTATCATATAACCATTTAAATTTTCAGTCTGACATAGAAGTATCTGAGAAGGACATTGAAAGAAATGTTAAAGAAAACCCTTCTGAAATTGAGGAAAAAAAGCCAATGTCACCTTCTGGATTACGAAGAAGGGCTGTGTAAGTTAATGTTAATCTTTTTCACCGCTGCTTGTATTTTGTAGGCTGTTTTATCATTACTCATCTGATTCATTGGACAGAGCTGCCTCAAGTACTGAAGATAGAGCACATGAGCCTGCTGATACTGATCACTTATCATCTGTTAAATTGGATGCTGCAGGACATGCACATATTGAAAAGCACAGGTACATTTGAAGTTTGTTTAATGGTGAGTCAGTAGTACACGTAACCTGTAAATCTTAGGTTCCTATGCAATATTTTTAAAACAACAGAAGTATGTGTCTTCAAAACTAGGACTGATATTTTGAGGTCAATGTAATTGAGTTATGTTTGGTTCTGTGGTATAACAAATTAATTCTGAGTGAATTGATCCTGTAAAATTGATTCCGGTTAAAAATGAGTTATGTAAAGTGATTTATGTTTGGATATCTTTATGCAAAATTGAGTTGAACAGTAAATTCCAATGCAAAAATCTCGTTTAAACTCAAAAGTTACAAATTCTCGTTTCAAATAGAATCAATTCTGAAGATAAAATGAATTATACTTAGGTAGAACCAAACACCTCAAAATCATTGCAAAGTCAATTCTACACCTCTAAAATTGCCTTTGCCTCTTCCAAAAGTTAAGCCGAATAGCCAATCATACGCTGAATATGTTAAACTACTAGGGTGCTATATTTAGAAGTTTAGTCATCATTGACTTCTCAGGATGTCTCTAAATCACTATTGTTTCACACATGTACTCCCACAGTTGCTATTAAATTATATGCAAAAATGTATTAGATAGTTAATTATTTTTTTCATTATTCTCTCAATTCTTGTACATTTTTGTTGAAACTTTTACTCAGAAAGCTTCAAGACGATTTGACAGATGAGATGGTGGTGTTGGCAAAACAACTCAAAGAGAGTAGTCTCATGATGAGCCAATCTGTAAAAAACACCGAAAAGGTCTGATTCTCATTTTCATTCTCCTTCATCTCTAACTGATAATTGGTCGTATAATGTATGAGTTGATTTTACAAAATGTATCTCATTCAAGGCAATGTTTCAATATGAAGTTTTATTATAGTTATTTTTAACAAATATTATATGAAATATCTCTTGTGAGGTTAATGAATGATGGGTTGGTTACAGATACTTGATTCTACCGAGGAAGCCATTGAACATAGCTTGGCAAGCACAGGTCGTGTCAATGTGAGAGCAAATGCAATATACTCAGAGAGTTCCAAGACTTCTTGCTTAACATGGTTTGTGATGTTTGTGATGATGTTGGTATTTGTCATGGTTATTCTTCTAATCCGTGTCACATAGGGTGTGCAGTTAACATTTTATGGGGTAAATTAAATTACTTAGTCTAGCTTTTTTCCATAATGTAAATTAGATATTTATATATTATAGACGCAATATCTTGCAATTTATGTTTTATTGTTTTTTGAAGGACATGCAATTTGTTCATGCTGTAATATTTTCTTCACATCATACCATATCTTAATTAATTCAAATAGACTAAATAAAGAATATTTAATTTTAGAGTCAAGTTTCTTTTTAATTAACTATTTTGTAGGCTTGAAAGGAATACATTTATATTTTGTAGTCTTCAAAGGAATATTTTTACAATTAAACTATTAATGTGTCCATGAGTCACAGGCTAGCATTATCCTTTAATTTGATAAATAAAATGAATGAGGTGGAATTTAATTTGAAAGATAGGTGGAGAAACACTGGGTCATGGCAATAGTAGTATTTGATTAGTTTGTCTATTAGGAAGTTTAAAGAAAATAAATGAATTAAGAGGTTTTATCCGGCCGACCCCACTTATACTTAAACTCTTACAATAGTGAGTTTGTATTTTAATATTCTTTGTGAATTATACGAGTTTTAGAAAATTTTCCTGTTATTGAATTTTTAGAATTTTTTTGAGCGATTAAATAAATTTTATAGAATTTTAGAAAATAAAATATAGGTGTGAAATCATATAATTTTTTTTAAAAACTATGATTTTGAAAAATCTGATATAAAATCATATTTTTTTATACAAGATTTTTCAAATATGCGACATAAAATCATAATTTAAAAAAAATTTATTGATTTTCTTCTGATTTAAAAAAAAATTCAATATTATTAAATTTTTCTTGGTTTATCAAACCTGAACAATCAAAATTTCAAAAATCTAAAAAATTATCAGAGTTATCGAATTTGAATTAAAAATTCAAATTCGTTTGTTTTAAAAAAACGCTAAAAATACATATAAGACAATTTGAATACCTTATTGGATTTTTTAATGTCTATCGAAAATTTTATTTGTTTAACCAAATTTTTCGTTCACACATTTTAATAAAATTTTTACAAAAACAAAATAAATATTATAAAAATATGTGAGAGTGTCCTATATAATTATAGAGATGACAAGATAAAACTCATAAATTAATGATATATAATATAATAATAAGAAAAACCTTGCCCGACTTGCATTACATCACAGTTTGGTGTACTTTGTCAAAAATATATGTCTATTTTTTAAAATATTTTAGTTTAAGCAAATGTGCGTTCAAATATTTTGGTGTAATCTATTTTTCCATCAGTTTTATTCTTTTAATATATAACTCACAATAACTTTTATTAAAACTATTATTATCTTCTTTCACATGATTTTCTATTATTAACTTTCTACGTAATTTTTATTTAAAATTAATATTAAATAAAAAATATTATTTAAATTAATATTATTTAAATTTTTAAATATGATAATTTAAAAAGCAAACAGACACTCTAGACGCTAGTAATTATTAAAAAAATAAAATAATTGAAAGTAGGACGGTTTGCAGTTGCCTCCATAAGGTTAGAGAACTGTTATCTTCAGAGATCATCCCCTTATACTTCAAAGAAAATAATATTACATGGCATTCCAAAATGGATACAAAATACCTTTCAAAAGATGTTTCAATAATGTATGTGCCATAAACACCGCAGAGTCGCTCAAAAAGATGGAATCGGGTGACGCGATTCAATATTATCATTATCAACGTAATCTGAGATGCGGAGGTTTCACAGGAAAGAAGTCAGAGGTAAAAACACTGCACTAAAATCGTAGTGTCACTCGCCGAAATACCAGAGCAAGAATGTTGGGAACGACGTTCGATTAGTCACATCAACTATCACAGTTTAACGGCAACAACGCCACCGCAGATCGTGGTTGCGCAGTTGCACCACCGCACCGGGACTCTCAAGGTACATTCTTATGACGGTCATCTACATCGGAATTGTAGTCTGAAATTCTTCTATAAAGTAGTAGTTGTTTTTTAATTGTTCTGATTTGATTACAAGTTGATTATTTCATCTCTATTAAACCTAATTACCTCTTCCATGTTCATGTTTGAATCGAACCATATTAGAATGAAACTGAAATAATTCTCTACAGTATTTCGTTTGTTATTTAAACTAAACAACTAATCAATCATGGATTGATGATTTCATATTTTACAAGCTCCAGAACCATACCATGATGAAAAATTAATTGAACTTGAACAAGGGAACTTCACATTTTGGTTTATCAAAGCCCAGTGTCGATTCCAAGCATGCGACTCGGGCGATGAGTTGAATTGAAGGACGCTAAAGGTGTTCAAAATAGGCAGAGTTCTGAGCTCAAACTCGGAAAACTAATATGACCAATAATTTAACGATTAAAAAAACTAAGGCTCGGCCGTGCTTATATGTCGTTTTGGAGTGCAGAAACCCTCAGGCTTCACCCAAAATCCAAAAATGTTGGGATGCACCTTTAACTATAAGCTCATATGCGTGCAATCATTTATATATTGTTTTCAAATGATATGATGGTGTTAATGGGTACCATTAACCACCATCTGGTTGACCATGTAGCTGAGCTGCCCTGGAATTTGTAGTCCTCTTTATATTATCAGCTGGTTTCTCATTGGCTGCTTCAATTCTTTCCAATGTTTCAAGGACTTCCTTCATTGATGGCCTAACTTTGGGCTCTTTTTGGATGCATTTGAGAGCAAGTTGAGCTACTTGTGAAGCTAAGTTCGGTGGATACCTTCCTTCCAACTTTGCATCCATGTTGCTTCTCGATTTTGCTCTATTTAACAGGTTTGATTTGAGCCAATCGTGTAGGGACTTTGGCTCACTAAGGCGTGTTATCTCGCCTATCCGCTTACCGGTTAGTATCTCCAACAAAACAATCCCAAATCCATATACATCACTTTTCACATACAAATGACCTGTTTGATTGGCATCAGAAGATTAATTTAGCGTCTCAGTCACCATGCTTTCAGAACATGTTTAAGAAGAGATTAAGAAGGTATTTGTGGTGACGATACCTGTGGCAATGTACTCAGGGGCGGCATAGCCACATGTCCCCACAATCTGTGTTGATACATGAGTGCGATCATCAGAAGGAACAGATCTAGCCAAGCCAAAGTCTGACAACTTGGCTGTGTATCCCTATTGCAAACCAAAATAATAGGTATATCTTTTTTCGTTACGTTACTACGAATTCTTTAATAGCATGGATACCTTCAATATGAGCAAAATGTGATCATGGGATAGTCAATCCACCAAAAGATGAAATGAAACTTACCTTGTCAAGTAGTATATTTGAGGGTTTGAGATCTCTGTATATAATTTTCTTCTCCAAGGAGTGAAGGAAATTTAGTCCCCTAGCTGCTCCAATCATAATTTTCAGCCTTCTGTCCCATGAAAGTGGACGAACATTTGAACCTCCTGCAAAGTAAAATGACATTAGGGGAGATTCACACAACACAGAAAGAGAGTAAAATGGTAGTTTTGTGGATGTCCTAGTTAAGTATCCTATCTGCTCTTACTTCCAAATAGGTGGTTGTCCAAGCTTCCACGGTGCAAAAATTCGTACACCAGAAATAACTCACCATCCTCACGCCCAAATCCCAACAGCTTTACAAGGTTGGGATGAGAAAGCCTTCCTAAGAAATTCACCTCTGACTGTGCCCTCAAAAAAATCATAAATATAAATAGATGGCACTACATATTAACAAATTTGTGAATGTGATGATCTAATTTTGAAAGTTCTATTCATGATGCAGTAATCTCAATACCTGCCATTCTACAAATCCTTGCGTGCTGTGAGAATTCAGTTTTTTTATGGCAATAGTCGAATCCTCGTCTCTTTTTGACGTTGCTCTCTCCTTAAACAAACCCTTGTATACTCTACCAAACCCACCCTCTCCTAATAAAGTATCTGGACGAAAATTTCTAGTGGCTGCTTTCAGTTCTGCCAAAGTAAAAACTTTCAAGTTTGCAGTATCCAAGAGATGCCCATAAGGAAACTCCTCATCTTCTCTTACTCGACAGATCTGGCTATTCTCAGAGCCCCAAAAGGATGCACTTGTATTATTTCCTGTTGAGTGATTATTACTACCACTAAATAGTCTGCTATTTCCTCCAGAGTTGCTGCTACGCCCAAGAGAAGTGGAATTGCCATTTTCTATCAATCCTAAGTTGCTGAGACCAAAAGAAAATGGAAGTCTCCCTGTGACATTGCAACACCAAGAGAGACAGTTTTTATGTTAAGCAATAAATGATGCTAAGATGTTGAAGTGTCAAACATTTCATGATGCAATAGAAAAATATAATTAACTTCACTAATAGCAAGGAGTGTTTTCTAAGTTCTAAATTACATAGTCAAAGAATCGAGGAATAATTACCTGTTGTGATTCCAATGTTTGAATCGGTAACCAATGTAGCACTGATATTTTATAATGAATACGTGTTTGATGTCTGACATGCTTTGGTGCACGACAGCAACACGTGTAATTACATCAATTAGGTCCATTTTATTAAATTATCATAGATCTCTACATGTCAATGTTTGTGACTGCATGTTTCCTTAGGATTAGATTAGTTACTTCCATTATTTGTTAATCTCTCTTTCTCCTATAAGATATTTAATAAAAAATGTGTTGACATAGGTTTTATTTTATCATGCATAAAATAGTTTATAAAAATTAATTTTCTTAAAAATCAACTTTATGATGTTTGAACGGTTACCATATCGAAGTATGGACAAAATTCCATGAAATTTCACATAACAGGTCTTAGCATCAGAGCCAGAAAACTGGACATCAATGCCAAGCCCTTTAAATCTGTCCCAGACTTCTAGGATAGTCTTAGGCATCGGCGCCAACACCTGAGCATCGAATGCCTAGACCTTAAATTTTCGCTCCCAGACTTCCAGGAGGTCTTTTGACATCAGAGCCCTAATCTTGGGTGTTGATGTCAAACAATTCAGGAATGGTCCAGACTTACAGAGAAGATAAGGCATCAGAACCCATGCTAGCCTGAAAAACTCTTGGTGCTTGATGCTTGGGTATTGATGCCTCACCTGTTGGGAATCAATGTCCACTAACTATTAAACACAACTAAAATAATTCACTTTTTAAACTAACATTCATTTCATCTATTTTATTCTAAAGTTTAAATCAAACATTATTTTATGACAAATATTTGAATGAGATTGTGAGTGAAACAATAATGTTGTTTCATTGTGAGTTTTTATCTAGTGAATGATTTTAGGAGTTGTTAGCTTCATTTCCATCGCTAGGAGTGTTTTTTCTGAGGAATCTTTTTAAGGATTAGAAAGGGGTGTCTTTCTAAAATATTGGGTTGTGCTTAAAATTGTAGAGGTGAATCATCTTGAAGAATCAAAGACTCAAAACTTAGGGTTGCAAATTCTAGTTTTGGTGAGTTTGTGCTTGGAACTAAGGTGGTTCAAAAAAACCATGAACTGAACCGAACTGCCGAACTGAAGTTAAAATAACCAAACCGTTATGTTTGGTTAGTTAACCAAACCATAGTGCATAAAACAGTTCTAGAACCGTATCAAAATTGGAACCGAACCGAACAGAAACTGTATTCGAACTGAACCGAAATTGAAAATTAAAAATACTAAAAATAAGTTTAAATGTTTTTTTAAATTTGAAAAATAGTTTAATGATTCGGTTCTTTAATAAATGGTTCGGTTTGGAAAACTTGTCTTCTAACGGTTTAGTACGGTTTGAAATTTCTAAACGGTATATCAAACCAATGATTTTGATTCAGTTCAGTTTTAAGTAAATTGAAACAGTTCGGTTCAGTTTAAGTAGATTTTTATTATGATTTAGTTCGGTTCGGTTTGGTTTTTCACTGAACTGTACCATGAACAACCTTACTTAGAACAGAGAATGTGATTTTGAGAAATTAACACTCTCAAAGGTTCTTCACATCTCACCATAGTTGAAAAAAGGAACAGGTGTTTTCACCTAGAATTGGGCATTCTAAGCTTTGGGTTTTGATGTCCAAAATTCAAGATACAACAAAGTCTGAACTTCAAGATTTGTGAAGTGCAAATTTGTTAGAGCATCAAGTACAGATTTTGAAAGTATTGATTCTAAGATTAGAAAGTATTGATTCTAGGATTAGAATCTTAAGAGCGACTAACAATATTGGTATTTACAAACCACTCCTTGGCTTTCTCAGTTCAAATAGTTGAGGTTTTACGTTTTAAATGACTAATTTGAAATCAAACTTGCACAACAGGAAGACAGTACTTTTTTTCTGAGATAGTTAAAACTGCAAACCAATTTGTTTTTGTTTATATACTAGAAGAAATATCTTGAACATCATGAAGGCCACCAAGGCCAAAACATGTTCATTCTTCCTCCACGAGTCAACAATATGTGATTTGATTTTCAAACATATGATAATCATTTCTCTGAATCTATAGATAAATGAATATAAGGAGGTGTCAAGTGTTGTGTACAGGTTGGTTTAATTACCTGATTGATTGTTAGTGTCAGCTGCAGTATTTGTATGTGGCCGATCGGCTGAGGGTTGAAGACTCCAACAGTTTCCCATTAAGTTGTTTGTTTTCCTCTTTCCTTGAACAAAGCTATTGCTAGCTAGCTCATCATGCTAGCAAAAATCTAGAGAGAGAGAGAGAGAAATGCTACAAGGTCTACCTGAAGTGATTTTATATTATTATATTATAATAATACAATAATGATAGTGAAAAGAGTGCCTACAAGTGAGAACACGGAATTGTACTTGTAGGTGCAGCCAACAAAGAAGTTTCCTAGAACACTGCCAGCAAATGTAATTCTAATCACGCGCACTTTTTAGTGTTATCATCCCTTGTTTGGCTTCTCTATTTGATTAGTAAATGCCACTGTTTATATATTTTGGATTAACTTCGAGTTTGATTTAATTACACTAAACTATTATAATTTATTATGATTTTGTAAAAAAAATTATGAAGTATTTTAAATCAAATAAATGTCTGAAAAGTGTTGAAAAAATCCATGTTAGAAAAGTCATACCAAGTATTTTGAAAATTTATTTATTTTTTTCTTCGTATTTAACATAATATATTTGTTCAATTAACACTTTATTCTTACTTTATTTTAAAAAAGAAAGTTATGTATTTTGATATTTCACCTATAATACAATACAAAATTTAATTAAATTAATGAGGTGGAATTTAATTCGAAAGATGGAGTAGAAAAACACTTGTCATGGCATGCTACTGTTGTGGATTACTTGTGTATAAGAATGAGCAGCAAGTTCATAGAAAATGAATGGAATTAGTATTATATAATGTATTATATAATAGAATAATATAACAAACAAATATAATATTTATTTGAGTTGCATTACATCACACACTACGACAGTTTGATGTGCTTTATTAAATTGATTTGTCGATTTATTTAAGATTTTAATTTTTTTAATTTTCTTGTGTTCGATGAGTCACTCTTCTAGACTATCCACCGTCAGCAATCAATTACCAAAACATAAACAAACAAAGTAAACAATCGATCAACTGCAACAAACCGATGAGTTTAGGGGTGTGTAAATTTAAATCGATTCAAATAAAAAATAAAAATTGTTTTAAAAAATTAAATACTATTAAATATGTTTGATTGTCATTTTATAAAAATCGTTCGGTTTAAATTAAATTTTAAATTAATTTTTTAAAATTAATCTAAACCGAATCGAATCATATATATATATATATATATATATATATATATATATATATATATATATATATATATATATATATATATATATATATATAGTTATTTTTTATAAATATGATATATTGTGTTATTTTTATTCAATTTTTTATTATTTCATTTATTTTAATCATAATCAATTATTTTCATTTTGTAATATTAATTTTTAATATGCTATATATATATATATATATATATATATATATATATATATATATATATATATATATATATATATATATATATATATATATATATATATATATATATATATATATATATTATTTCAAATATATTATTGTTGACTCTAAATTTCGACGTCTGAATTGGATAAAAAAAAATAGAGTTTTTTGGAGAATCAGATGACTTCGACCAGAACCATATTTTTGAAATGTGAGTCGTACGTGTCCCTTTGTTAGGAGAAACTATTTTATGGACTTGAGCTTGTTTTTTAGCGGTTTGAAGATTCGATTTGACTACTGAAGACATTTCGATTGGAATATTTGAATTCAAATAAAAGAGGTGAACTTTATTCTTATCCATTTCTCAAAGAAGACACGTGGAGCGATTTTAGGAATCGAAGACATGCAGAGTGTCACTTGTCTCGATTTAGTTTGCTAACCGTTGATGGCAGTTATTTTCGATTAGTAAAAATAACAAGTCTTAGTGTTAGAATTTGTGTGTGTTCAATTGTGTACAAATTCTTCAATATATTTCAAATACCCGCGTGTAGAGAGACGGGTTTGTGAGAATGTACGTTGATGTAACACCATTTTTACATTTCAATGCAATTCAATAAGTTCTTTTCATTAAGAATTTATCTTTTTTTTTGCAAGTTACGTTTTACATTTTTTACCAATCTTTTGACTTTAATCCTTCATGTTCAATTCCATTTAGATTTGAAATAAGTTATTTTATCATGAACTCTATCGAAGTGTTCATCGTTATTCTAAATTTCGTTTAAGATCAATTGGTACATGTCCTAAGATTTGTGCGATCGATCTTGCAAGTAAAACAAATCTTTTTTAATTTAAAAGAGCAGCGATTTTTCACCAATTTTCTCGGCGAACAATTATTTATTAGTTTTTTTTTATAATTTTAATAAAAAATATAATTTATAATTTAAATACTCAAAAAACAGTCTAAATTAAACTGCATAAAATTGAATTAGATCAAATTAAATTTTTTAATTAATCATTCAAAATTGAACTAAAATCTTTAAATCAAATAAATTATTACTTCAAAATCTGTCAAAACTATATCAAGAACACCTTTGGATTGGACAAACTTTGTATTTAAACTAAATTTGTTCATATAATAAGTTAACGAACTTTATATGATCGATTTTTAATTTTAGAGAATGTTTGTTTAAAATGATCAAAAATAACGTTTGATCTTTTAATGATTTTATGCAGAAAATCAATTTTAATTACCTTTTAAAAAAATTCTTAATATAAGATAGAGGAATATCAATTTTCCTTTTTATGATTTTAAACAAACATAATATTTAAAAACATAGACACTAAATTATTTATATCCATATAATTTAGGTTAAAGTCCAAAATTATATGAGTGAAACCTTTTGTTAAATTTTTTATATTAATCTTAGGAGGATCTAAAACTCAAAAGGGAAATGTAGTTGATGTGATTATTATTAATCCAAAAGGGATAGTTTGGTAGTTTAAATATCTCCTAGATCTTCAACAATCAAGTCAAATATGAAGCCATGATCTTAGTATTTAAGATATTGTAACAATGGTCAAAAACTATCATCTAAGAGATATGGATCTTTTAATCGGTGAACAAACATGTCAAAAACTATATGTCTTAAAGCAGATAGTTTGACACAAAAAGAATAAATTACTTTATTAAGGTGTTCAAACTTTATACCGTATAAATTCTGTTATAAGAGTGACTAACAAAGTCATATCTAAAAGGTAACTTTAAACTTTCTACTATTCAAAATTAAAATTACTTCATTTGTAAATATATGATTTGTAATTATTAAAAATTCTTATTTTTTATAATTACAGATAAATTATTTTGATTTCTCTTTTTTCACATCAACAACGATCTCAACTTTTACAACACGATTACGAACCTGATGCTTGTTAGAACTATCAACCCAAGTTTCGTTTGCAACTCTTTATCTGAATATTTGTAGAAACAAAAAGTATCTTAGTGATAATCAAACCGATAGAAAGAAAACTTATTTAAATATATCCAAATACTTCCAATATGCAGAATAGAGACTTAAGAGCACAAATAACTCCTCACTTCATCATCCCGGTTTTGTCTATTTATTCCTAAATAAAAATAACTAGGTTGTATACAATACTATGAGACAGAAAAACATAATAAAGTTTGGCTCATACAATTCGACAAACACTTTGTGAAAAGACAAACAAAACATTCAATTGTATAGTAATTTCTTCACAATAGAAGCCAATACCATATATTAAATAGCAAATGATACAATAACAAATATGTCATAAATCCATAAGAGAGATGATGATATCTACCACAATTTTATTCAAATTAATAGCAACTACAAAAGATTTGCTCATGATATGGAAGACTTGATTGTAAACAGGTAAGTTTGTGTTCGAATATACTTAAATCATTTCAGTGCATCAAATGTACATTACCATGTTTAATAATCATGTATCTTCTTTCATAGATATTACAATCATTGAAATACACAATAACTAGTTAAACAATCCTCTATAAAATAGTAAACTCATTATGTGTCAAGTTAGGATATTGACTAACCTCCAAAAAAAAAAAAAAATCATCTTTTGACATAAATATTTTAAAAATACCGGAAACTTTGGATCTGTTGCAGTAGCATCTCAAACCTTATAAAATAAAAAGAAAATTATTGTAAATGTGCCTTAAGACGTTTGTTGATGAAGAGAAAGAAAACATATTTTGGAGATTGCATTTACCGCGAAAATCAGAAGTTTTAGAAAGTCGGACGAAAAGTCGAGAAAAAAATCTGGTTGGTGTATAGTGTTGTCTGTACGGTGAATAGTATCGTCTGTATGGTGAGTAGTATTTTCGAGTTTTCGGGCTTTTTTTGATTCGATCCATGGATCCATGTGATTTTGGGTTTTGTTTGTTGGATATTTGCAATTATAAATATGTATCTCTTATATGTTTGGTGTGCGACAATCATAGAGTTTTCACCAACAAGGGAGAGTAAGGGTTTACAGACATAACATAGGGTTTCAGCTATTCACAAGAAATTTTTTAGAAAAGCAAAGGTTTAGGGAAACCTTCGGAGTTGTTTAAGATTATTGTGAAACACTGTTACAGGTTTCAGCTATGCACAAAGAAAACCTTGGATTACACCTTGGGTTTGAGTGATTCATATATTGAGAGTTGGAGAGGTAGGGAAACATTTTGATAGAAAATAGGATTGTTCTTGGGCGCCTTCAGGGTTGTTCTTGGGAACCTGAAGGCGAATGATATTTTCTTATAACACATCTGTAATCTCTTGTAACAACTTTCCAAGTATAGTGATTTGGAGAGCTACTCTCTCCTCCATAGTAGATCGTTTGATGGGTAAATAAACCTTTGGTTTTTTCTTGTCTTATTTTGTTATATTATCTGTCTACGGATTATTTTTGCTGAAGACCATTTATTTTGATTGTTATTGTTCTTTACCTTACAAATTGATATTAAATCTTGTCGTAATTCACAACAAGATTCACAACTAGTGGTGCAGTGAGCGTGGAGCAAAGAAATATTGTTGACAAGTGAGCACCATGGTTAGTAAATGGCAGATCGAGAAATTTTCTGGTAATAACGACTTTTGGTTATGGAAAATTAAGATGC